CATGAAGGGAGACAAGCTTGGGAGACAAGGCGGCAGCGGCAGCCAAAAGCGAAATCATGAAGGGAGACAAGCTTGGGAGACAAGGCGGCAGCGGCAGCCAGAAGCGAAATCATGAAGGGAGACAAGCTTGGGAGACAAGGCGGCAGCGGCAGCGGCAGCCAATTTTGGCAATCAGGAACCCATCCATTGAGAAGTAAGAACCCCTATAGCTTCGCTATCTGGAAAATAAGAACGTGGTAAATCACGCTCAAACCATCACACCTGCCAGCTCTGACCCATTGGAGCGTCGGGCACTCCTCTTCCTAGGGTCTAGCCAGAGCTGCTGTGGGTCTTAGACTTAGACATCGAAAGTTCATAAAAATGGTCAAGGAATGCCCCCAGCCATCGTTCGTTGGGCGCTTGTGCAGCTGCCTCTCGTGTGCTTTTGGATCTGGTGGTGTCTCCACAACTTCCCGCCAAACCTCAGCCGCTCAAATAGAAAAAGGGCCCTGGGGAGGACGTCTCGTGACAGTGAATATGCCAGATCCACAGTTTAAGAACCAACGCAATGCCCCTTCTAAATAGGTGTGGCCCTCATTCTACCGGTGTGGTCCTATTTCCCTACTCCATCAGCGCCTAGTGTTACAATGCTCAGACCATGGCTAAACGGCCCTGAGCCGCAGGCGACTTTACCGCTGAGGTCCACTTCCACCTCGTAAAGCTTGCCGATCTTGTCCTTCCAGCGTGGGACATTGGATACGAAGGTCAACCTTGGCGATCGAAAAAGCGGTCCTCGCTCAAAGGAGCTCCATTGCTCTCCCAGTCCTGAAGATACAAAGAGCTGGGTGTGAAGAGCAAACTATTTACCCTCGCTTGTCAGACATCCTGGAACCTGAGATGGTTCTCTGAAAAGAGGTATCTTGAAAGTAGATCCATGACACGCGCTTGATTGACGGTGACTTTTTCCTAGGACAGTCTAGTAGTCACCATCTCACCCACACTCCCATTCGGCACGTCTCCTCTGGATCCTGAGTGGCTTTGATGATCTCAGGAGGCGCAGCCTCACAGACAATCTGGCATGATTCTGTAGCAGCTGAGAACTAGACTTGCTTAAATTTTGAAAATACCGCTGGGGGTTGCATGAACCCCAAGGGCTCAAAGTGTTGGCTGCGTTCTGGGATCACAAGGTGGTCGGTCACCTTGCCACTTTCAACCAAGGCGGTGCTTCCTTTCATCCCCCCATCCAGTTCGCTCCTTCAGTGCCCCTTTTAGGCTGTTGCTTCTCCGGCATCAGTCAGATCTGAGCGGAACGCCTCGACGATTTCAGCTGGATGAGCTTCACTTGAGACCTGGCCTTTCTTGCTGCCAGCAGCTTTCCGCCCCAAAGACCACAAGTAGACCATCTTGTCTTCGTCTGTTTTGAGCTCTGCCCACTCAAAGTAGGGTACAGTCAAGCAAACGTATCCTTCTAATTCCAAGATTCGCTGATGCATCTTGCTGTACGCAGTTCGATCAGTGGTTCCTGCATAGTAGCCATAGGGTCCTACAGTACATACCACTGCATTGCTGGCCGGCATCCAAATGTCCTCACAGGGGAGGAGTGCATTCCATGAATGGAGCACCATTCAACCTTTTTGCTGAACACCATACAGAAAATCAAAAGACCTTTGACTGACCGACTGACCCACACATGGCATGGTCACATGTCATCTATATACCCTTGTATCATTAGTTGGTTTCTACAACCCTTATCTTTGGGCAGGAACAGTTCGGAGGCGACAAACACAATAGTGTGATAGCCTACTCATCCCCCATCTCCAGCATTTGATCATCCACCAACGCTTTCAGCTCCACGGGGATGTCCATCTTCCGCAAGGTCCGTCGCACCTCCGACATCCATCGAGACTCAAAGGTCCTCACCTACACATCTGAAAGACCCCATTTGTTCGGCTCACGGCAGACACACACGAGCACGTTGTACGTAGTAGACAAGAAAGCGCAAGCGAGTCTAGAACAAAACAATAGAAGGGGTGAAGGCTGCCAAAAGGATTCAAGCATTGAAGAACCCTAAATTATGTAAGTCCATGAAAATCCCAAAACATGTTTGTTCCAAGAGCACTGTGTTTTGGGGCGCTCGGGCTACACTTGGGCGTTCAACGGATGGCTTAGAACGCTGGACAAAAATAGTGACAAACATCCCGGCACGTGGATTTCTGAACGTGTGTTTTGTTTTTTGCTTTGCGTATGGCACTCCAATGTGCTATTTGCAGTATTTTTGAAAGTCAAGTACATAGAAATCACGGCATTTCCCTTGGGATTTACAATGGTAGTGGTATTTGCCACACAAAACATGCGTCCCCATGCCTAAAATGAGATCTCACTTTCAAGAAAAACGGCGTCGTCACCGGACAGCTGCGTGCGTTTCTCACATGGCTCGCAGCGTTTTCGCAGTCAGACTGGCTAGGGAATCGTGCTTGGCATGTTCCCATCGCCACTGCCACGCCCTTGCATGACGCCACATCTTCAGATTGATCTGTGTCGGATCGGTGATGTCCGTGGTTCTAATCTGCTTTGGCAAAGCCTGTTTCAACAAAGGCCAAACTCCATCAATCGTTCCCCCATGAACTTTCAGAGTCTTTCTGTTGAACTTCACCGTGTGGCAAAACTTACCGGACCGGTGAGAACAAGCAAAGTGTTTTACCTCCAGCCGCCAGCCATCTTTTCACACAAAGCCCTGTCAGAGAGCAGAACTGTTCGTTGGCCTTCTCACGTCGTGACTCATGATGTGATCCAGACACCACTCTCCGCCGTAGAGACCAAAGTCGACGGAGCCAAAGCGACGTGTGATCAAAGCGCTGTAGCGAATGCAGCAGGAAACAGCAAAGACCGAAATCGGCCTAAACATTGACATATACATCGCTAAGAAAGTCTGTAAAAGCAACATCGCACGCTCGTCTAAGGCGGACCAACGCAAGTTCCTATTCGGTACACCAGATTCGTCCAGCATGATCTCGAGAGTTGTTCTTACACCCCGAGCCAGCGGCAAATCCAGAATGAGGACAGGTCGCTGCGCACGGCGCGCCAGCCGCCTAGCCGCAGCACTGAGACCAGGGCCGTGCAAAGCGCGCGACGACGCAAACGCGCCTCCATGAAGACGTGAAACTGGAGCCAAAGAGAAAACACGCATAACATATCACGCAACTTGCCCCTCCCCAAACCCCCCCCCGCAAACCCTCCCCCACGAAATCGGCCGCTTAAATTCGCAGTGCCTACACGCGCGGTTTTCCACACGTAGGCACAAACACGCAGTCGGGTTGATACTCCTCGACGTGGAGTCAGACTTCTACGGGGGCATTCTGTTCATGCCTTGTCAGGGACTCGCGTTTCAACAAGACTCTTGCAGGCAAGGAAAATGCTGAACGACAAAGCCATGAAAACTCTGAAGAACAACTGCAGTCACAGGCCAGCGTGTTGGAGCATGCTCAAGTTCCAAAGGCATTTCAAGCTATGGCAACAGCTCGTTTTGAGACTTGGACCCAAAGCCCCCGGAAGCGTGCGATGCATCCAGACACATACCAGACCAAGCGGGGCCGTTCTTGATCACTGATCTACAAGATGAGTGCGCTGGTGTGCGTAGCACGTCGTCTTCTGTAGACACTGTAGACGACCTGGCCAGAGCACGCGATTTCTGCGCGTCCTTTGGTCCAGCCTGCGTTCAAACCAGGCAAAACAGAGGTCCTTACGAGCTTTCATGGCCACGGGCAACATCATGCCAAGAGACTGCTTGACTTTGAGAAGCGGATGAAAACGATGACAGTCGCTTCGGAACTGACCGAATGAGAATGGTCAGTATATCAGTACAGGAACCAGAAGAGACATAAAAAGATGAAGGGCGACCCTCCGAGTCGTCTGTACCCGTTCGGATCTGGCTGCTGCTAAAGTAGGGCTGCTGTATTATCGCACACTTCCTAGCAAAAATCCACGCAAAATCCGGGTGGTATGTGGCACCAGTTGAGGCACCTCATCCACTGCCAACGGAGGTGAGTGTAGGATCGCGCGGCGCACCGCCCCACGACACCTGGTGACCTGGCACCACCATGCGAGACCTGGTCGGCGAGACAGCCCCCGTCCTTCAGAAGTGACATGGCTCTGGGGTCTACAGAGACCTGTGAGCCAGGCAGATGTGGCAAATGTCGATTGGCAATCACCTACTGATGGTCTTCACCATTCTTTTGACCCTGGAACCACAAACTCTGCTTGACGGATACGCACTGGTCTGTCGAGCATCCGGCTGGCAAACAAGAAGGGGGGCTGCCAGCATCTGGAGACTTCAAATTGTCAAGCTTCTCAAGCAATGGGGTGCCGCAGCATACACTTTCATTCCTACAGGCTAGGGATTTAGGATGCGCTTCAACAACACCAACTGCATTCCGGTTGAGTAAGCAAGATCCGGCGCGTGATCTCATTCGGAAAGAGATGTTGCACCATCTGCACCATCAAGGAACGGAAGCACTTGACGGGGGGCACGCCGGGAAAACCGGGTGAGCCATCCACCACGTTTGTGCAATTGCATTGCCGACGCGGCCTAGTTCCATGCTGATAAGCAGTGTGTTCCGCTCGAAACCGAAAAGGATGTCACTGAATTTGACCCTGAGGCTGCAATGTCCATTGTGCCAGATTGGGGATTTTCCAGCTGGGCCGTGCATGATAACTACGCCTTGACGACATGACGTGTGAAATGATAAAACAAAAAAAGAACGAACCATGAAAAGAGGTCTGCTCACCCAACAAGAACTCCCGGAAGCCGCACCCAGGCCCTCACCTTCACTTGGGTCTTTTCGAAGACATGCAAGGCCTCTCGTAGTTCGAAGTTCAGGCGACGGTAGAGTGGTCCATGGAGCCGCCGGAACGCGATGGACGCGGTCTTAAGGACTCGACGTTGATAACTCGTGAGCTCCTCCTGGACGGTTTCTTTCAGCAGATCGGAAGAGAAAAAGGTATGGAAGCGGATGGCCCGGCCTCTGAATCTGAAAAAAAAACATCAAACACAACAAGGTCTTGTGTCTGCTTCCATCCATTCCGACAGTCAAAGTGTCCTTGACTGGGCTCGGTCTTGCCATGAAACTGGCCAGCCGAGTGACCCAATAAACACCCATTGACCATTCGCTGGCTGACTGGCAGTTTCTGAGAAGAAAACTATGAAAATCGAGCTTCCGAACATGGCGGTCGTGCTCAGAGAAATCAACGAACGGGTTTGAGAACCATGAAAAGCATTCAGTTCAGATCTTACAGTAGGGCGGGGGTCATTCTATATGTCCGATGTCACGATGTCAAGCATTCCCCAGACCCAAGCTCTACAATTTCACGATGAGCTCTTCCCAGCGTCCTTGGACCATGCCAGCAGGGTCAGGATCTTCTCAGCCACATCATCCGAGGTGCCCACGAGCGCCACCAGCGAACGAAACATCAGCACCAGAGCTTGCAAGTCGAAGACATCCACCTGGCGCCACTCACGCGATTGTCCTCAGAACAACTGGTGCATTTTCTCCACCGGCGACCGGCGAACGAAACAGAAACGACCTGCCAAAGAAGAAGGTACTGTAATTACAATGAAAACGAGACGGTCTAGCTTGGCCTAGCTTCGATACTGAGGCCCTATCTCAAGAGCTAGGTTCAGCTTCACCAGGGCAGCCTCTTCTAAGGCCTTGGCCAGCTTTGCATTGTTGTAATCCAACTTGGCAAAGGCGTTCATCGTGGTCGCTAAGGTCTCTTGATTGAAGAGATGTCTCTTGGCACAGCGCGTGCACATCTTAGCGATCATCGCCAGCGCCTGCTCATCTCGACGATCCACTCGGGCCATGGCACTCACCAGGATGGTGAGCTCCAAAGGGCTCATGGTCCAAACTAAATTGATCAAAGACATGGCAGCCATTCTCCAGAAACGTGGGCGATAAATATAGAAATGTGCTACGGCGTTGCAGGTGAGTGCCACGATTTGTCCAGTCCATTCTTCCTTTCGCTGACAAATGATGCTCACCAACAAGTGGATATTGTCAGTCCTCTCGTACTCCAGTTTCTTGTGAGCCGCTAGGATGAGCGCCAGCTCATGTGTGCTGAAAGAATCGACGTGTCGCAGAATGAAGGGGGACAAAGTATCCAGCGCCTTTCTATCTCGATATTTGATCCTGGCGAAGGCACGAAACATCAACGAGACATCTTTCGGCCCAGTGAGAGCCCCTGTCAACAAGACGCGTTGAACAAAGCGAGCCCAGATTTCTTCATTTCGAACTCCCAGCATGGCACACTTCCACATCTTTCTCGCCAGCGGCCCAGCACTTGGAGGATCAGATGTCGACTCCTCCACCAAATCCTCTGGACGTGCTTGGTCCAACAAATCCTGAGGTGTCTCCTCCAGATTGGCGGCAAGCGTTGGCGTCAGCTCAGATCCTCCCCGACGCTTGGATTTCAGTCGCTGGAGAGCCTTGAGGGCCTTCGTTGTATCCTCCTGAAATGCATCGGGACTGAGGGTCTTCGTTGAGGATGCAGGCCTGAGAGCCTTCCACCCTGCCTCCCAGATCTGAAGTCTGCGAATGTTCGGTCGTGCAAAACCCGTTCGTCCCAGCAACTGCATGAGCTCACCATGCAGGTCGGTGGTCTCACCATCTTGCCATTGCAGCACCAGTTTCTTGCAACGAACTGTGTGCCTATCTGAGGGCACCAGGAAGGATTCCCTGAAGCTTTGGTGACACTCACACTAGGGGCTATTGTACAAGAATGTAAAGTTCACGCTCCTTCCTCGAGCCTCCTGTTATGGGCAGAATTCATTCAGTATACCTTCGCGTAGCCTGCTTTGGTAATAAGAACTGCTGAATCGCTGGAGTATCTTAGTACCTTGATTGAGTTGAGTGACAGCTGCGCATGTCTTTGTCAAGAACATCTTCCACCCGGCCCAACAAACACATCCCAATGACACTCGAAAAACAAATGATCTACCAGCCACCTGCTGGATCTTTTGCATCATCAGGCTCCTTCAAGATACAGCATGTACTTGGCTCAAAATGCGAACAGTGTTGCATGCAGGACTGACTTGTCACTCCCCCATTCGCTTATCAACTTGTTGAATTCACGGCAACCCTTGTAAAGATTTGAAAAAGGAAGCAACATCTAATCCGCCACTCCTGTAATCCTTCTTGGTCACATCGCGATTGTTGCAAATGTTCTGGGAGAAAGCCCTCAGCCATTGGACAAAACCATTGAAAAACACATGGTGTGGCTAAAAAGGGGGTGGTGAGGCTAAGTGAGCTAAGTCCAACGCATGGCATGGGCGTTGGTGCCACCGAAGCCAAAAGAGCTCACCTGCATGGGCGTTGCTCCCCCCGGCCAGCAAGGAAAACTGCCACCGCGGCTAAACGAACAAACGAAAGATGGTGACATGTCTGAGAGATGACGTCATCGCCAAAGATCACAAAGGCTGAATACGTTTAACTTAAGCACTATTACCGTAGTACCTCCAAAATCCCCAAAAAGCTCGCGATTCTGAAATCTAAATCTAACACTTGAAGTTTCACCACCTTTGGACAATTGGTGGGATGTTATGTCCAAAGGCAACTAGGGAGCACACGCCACTGACGCAACTGTTGAAGTGCGTCACACAGCCCTCTGACAGGAACTGAGCAGGAAATCCTCAAGGCAAACTGGATCGACTTGCTTTCCACAAAGTCTCGGCTTGCGAATTCAGTCCTTCCACGTCCAAGTGTGGATTCATCTCCCGAAGGTGGATGTTCGGGCTAGATTCGCAGCGCAGGACCTCAAACCAACTCCCAGCTGAAGATAGAGTCGCACTCCCTGGACTCCCTCCACCGTCTCGCCTGCAAAACCACCTTGATGAGCCCGGCCATTCCTGGCGCCGGCTTCCGAACGCGAAGCCAAAATGATTCTGCTGACCCAGCCTGCGCCACCTTCGAGATGCCCCAAGTTCGTCTTGGAGCTAGTGACCTGAGTTGATCATTAGCATGAGCACCACATGCGCGCAATGGTGAACCACTGACGCACACCAGTACAGCCAGGGGCAAGGCTCCCAAGGTCAAGTGATGAAACAAAGTCGAAGAGTCGAAGGCTAAAGTAGCTAGAAGCTACTAGTAACAAGGGCAATACTACTAGTAGCAGCTACTAGACTAGTAGTAATGCCCTTGTTACTAGTAGCGATGCCCTGGTTACTAGTAGCGATTTAGTGAAATGCTTTTTCTCACTCAATTCAGGATTCTGGGGCGAAGGTTCATTGGCACCAGGGGTTGTGGTGCTGAGCTGTCCGACAAGCAAAGGCTGCGCACGGGGCACTTGTTGGTAGATGCGCTTGAAGGCTCCAACCTGGTGATGGAAACAGCAGTTTGAATTCCACCCTCCCAGTCATATCATATGACGACAACCGCTCAACTAGTCGAAACTTGCAACCAAATTCAAGGTTCAACTCCATTCTCACTAGAAAGGCACAAAGAGCATGACTCACCTGTTCACTGGCCATTCCTACAATCATTCCTTACATGGCCAGCTCTTCATCCAAATGCGTTTGAACAAGACCGCTGCACCAAACAAACCGCCCGCCCGCCTCGATGGGATCGCCCAGGGCTGTGCCGGTGCCATGTGTCTCGAAGCCTAGAGGACGCGAACCGAACGGATCTACGAACGGAGCGTTCGGACGCTACGATCTAGGGGCTCCTGGCCTTACTACGAACGGAACAAGGTTCGCGAACCGAACGGAGCGTTCGGACGCATGGTTCCTATTGAGCTGTTCAGCTGTTCGTCTTCGAGTGCAAGGATCAGAGATCCTTCTCCCTATACCGAAGTTGCTTCTACCAGTGGCTTCCAGCAAGCTTCTCAAACAAATTTGAAAGCTACCGCCGGAAGCCAAACGAAGTCTTGGCCTGTTTACACTCATGCTGCAGGAACTGACACATGTTGCTGGAACATTAGCACTGGGAAATCTTACTAGAGTCTGCCTTGAAGCTAAGGCAGGCTGCTGCCAGCCAGCCCGCTGCTAGCACCAACTACTGCACTGCTTGCCACATCCAAGTCAAGGGCAGTCAACTTCAGCTGGCGAATATTTGGCCTCTCAACACCGCATCTTTGCCAGTTCACTTGTGACATGGTCTCAGTTGCTCATATCGTGGATGCTTGCTCCCTGTTGCCTCCCGAAAGCAGGCTTTGATGCACTTCTCCTGGGAAGGTCCATTGGGAGCGGTGATGCTGGCACTCTTGCCATCCTGGTTGGCCTCGCAAAAACGCGGTCTTGCAAATCTTTCTGGTGCAAAAGAACACAAGAGGCCGAAAACAAAACATGTGCACATCTGATGTCATCCATTTGGCATCCCCTTCAGTACAAGTACAAGGCTACAAATGGTGGTCTTTCAGGATACCAGCCAGAATGAACCAAAAGTTCTGAAGGTTTTTTCCCCGCAACAAACTAACAGCTTACCACATCGCCGGGCTCCCTGCTTGGCTGGCTGGCATCGCCGCAAAAAGGTGCCCCTGTGCAACTCCGTATCACTGGGAAGAAAGCATCGAATTGAAAAAACCAGTCTCTCCGGCGGAGAAAGTCGAAAACGATTGTGTCAGGATGAAAAGGCAAATGCTCGGTGCGAATTTCAATCAGGTCAAATACCCTCCCACTCACTAACACGGAAGTGGACAACTCCCTGTCTGCAAAGGAAAGTAGTCTTCCCAGGGTCATTGGCCACCTCCATGTAGACGTGAATGCAATTCACATGCCGCTCTCGAATTGGATGCACAGATTCTGACATCAAAGGCCCCTCTCACAACCTTCCTCTGGCAGTTTTTTGGTTGCCTCATGCAGCTTCAGCAGCCTTTTCCATGCGGGCGGCTGCAAGTCACTCCATGCAAGCGCTGCTTCATCGCTCTCCGGACCCGGAAAGGGTAGCAATGCACAGCATCATCTCCGTGCGGTTTCGTACCTGACACCGAAAGCGCACTGGTTTTGCAACTGCTCGCCGATCGAGGCACAGGAGTTCAGGGCGGTTTCCCCGCTCAATGAGCGCAAAAGAGTGCGGCCCAGTTGGGCGACTCGGCTCGGTCAGCTCGATATGACAAATGGGACCCCACAGTCTCTCAACATGCTCTTCCTTGGGTGCTTCAGCTGAGTCCTGTATGCCCGCGTTGCAAAAGGTAAACGGAAGGGGATCAGGTTCATGTTGGTGGATGGCGCAAAGCACACACAGGGGCTGTGGGGTTGCCATCCCCATACATGGCGATGCATTGGTGTTGAGCTTCAATCATCAAGGCCTACCTCGCCAAATCAATGGCCAAAGCGCTTTAGCTCTCGGAGCTCTCGCAGCTCAAGGAACGATGTGCATGATCATAAGGGCTGGGGCAATTAGTATACGGCCATGGGTCAAAATTGGGAGACCTTGCTAGACCAGCGAAAATGAAGAGAATAGACGGCTAGGAGCCATCTAGGCCCAAAGCCGTGTGGCTGAAGGTGTCGGGCCACCTAGGGGTGTTTGCCGCCCTCGGAAGGCGGGGGCATCGTCGACTAAGCAGGACTGCTTTCAGTTCTGCAGCCTGGTCATTGTGGAGTTTGCCGTGGTGTGACCTCTTTTGGTTCTGTGACGACATGAGTTCTTTGTTGATCGATATGATTAGGTCGAAGATTGATGATCCCTGGAAGCATGCTCTTGAGGAGCTGTTTATTTCCTTTGGTAGTGCCGGCTCCTTCGCTCGCATTGCTGGGAAAGTGCTTTTTCAGGGAGAGCTGTGTGGTATTGAGGGATCGTTGATGTGGGTGAAGCCCAGAAATTTTTCCCCAGGGAAAGGTTTCATTCCTTCGGGAGGTGAAGTGTGGGAGATTTTGGCGCAGGACCTGACCATGAGAGATTTGCACTTCCAACATGGTGACATTGTGTCGTTTTATGGGAACATTGTCCAGAGCTGTCACACTCGATTCGTGATGCCACGTGACACGATCATCACGAATGTCCCTTTGTGGAATCCTCGAAGACCAATTTCGGCCGTGCATCTCTTTTCAGGCTCGTTCTGCGGGTGGTCTCAAGCCTTGGAGGCAATTGGAAAGACTGAACAGGTCCCTCAGGTTTCCCAGCAGATCTATGTTGATAGCGATCCTCGCACAATGCAAAATTGGGCTAGTCAATTTGAGAAGCCGGTGCACTTTGGACCGACAAATCCCGATTTTCCTTGGAGTCCTAGCTCCCATGTGGGGATATGCACCTCGGTGAACGATTGCACCTTTTGCCATCAAGTCCGTGTCCGCCTCAATCTTGTCTGCACTGCGTCACCCCCATGCATTACCTGGAGTAAAGCTGGTAGGGCCCAAGGTCTCAATTCCGCTGCCGGGTACTCGTTCATCGAAGCTGTGTTTCTCACAATTGTTCTGCAGCCAAACGTCCAAGTCTTTGAGTGCTCCGACGAGATCACTAAGCATCCACACTTTGGATTGATCTCACACCTTTTGAAACTTGGCGGTTATCGAAGGATCTGGCAACAGCTGGTAGAATACCATCCATTGTCCCACAACATGAGATGTAGGTGGCTGTCTGCATGGGCCAGGGTTGACATGAACCCCGGTGTCATTGATGAGCATTTCCACTTGGAAGCTGAGCATTTGTGTCCATGGTCCTCAGACTTGTATGACTTTCCTCTTCCTCAGGATGTGCGAGATGGACTACTCCTTTCTGATGAGCTTCAGCGATTGTATGGCAGTCGAGGGACACTTCCGCCTGCCAAAAAGGCCAGGGTAGCACCCGATGCAGTGACAGAGACGGTCCTGAGGGAACGCACCATCAATCCTACTGAACCTCTTCCAACCATATGTGCTTCCTATGGTCACCAACATGAGTTGGCCACACATCACCTTCTGCAGAGAGGTCTGTTCACCTTTTTCTCGTCAGGATCTGAGGGTTTTTGTTGGGTTGAACCCCCTCGTATTGTGGCTTTGCTCGGGGGGCAAACCAGGGTGTCGATTGAACGTCAGCCGACTGATGCATACCATGTTTTGGGCAATGCCATTGCAGTCCCTCAAGCTGCGCTCGCCATTTTGGTAGGATTGCAGGCCATTCAAGCCGAAACAATCCCTATTCTTCGAATTGTCCATGACATTTGGTTGAAACGCATGACGACTCATAATGCTTTTGTGCAAGTTGAAGGTAACTTCATCACCATCTCACAGGTTAAGCTGGCATTCGAACGCATTCCAATTCGCTGCCCGAGCGTTGACGCCTTTGCCATGAAGTGTGTTGTCAGTGATTGCCATGGATCTCATGGCACGGAGGGCTCATGTGATCCCTCATGGACGGTGCATGAGTTGATTCGATCCTGCACTGGCCTTGACCCGCATGCCTTGACTCAGATCACTCTGAGACATGGTTTGATCGTTGCTTCCAGGGTTGAGCAGATCTCTGACCTGATCATCATCTCCAAGGAATGGAACATCTTTGCGGCCTCTGTCAAAGTTGCATGTCTCAGATTTGTCATGCAGGATCAGGTTGATGCCCCAGACATCTCTCCTACCATTCCCTATGTCCCAGTGTCGGTGACTGAAACCATCGAGATCCCAACCTGTGAGGGAGAAGTGATTGCACGATCGGATGATTTCGCCCGAATCCACCATTTCTTTACGGCTGCCAGCAGTGCACAAATATTTGAAGGAGAAGGTCCTTCGGACCCAGTGATCTTGCTTTGGATGACTCCTGCCACCTCTATCCTGGCCAGGATCTATGGTCATCACAACATTGACAGTGTTCGTGGCTTCCTTAGCGATCGAGGATTCAGAGAGTGGTCACTCAAGCGACTTACTGGTAACTCCGTGAGGTTTCCTGACTTTGAATGGTGGGTCTTCATGCCATCCCACTTGGCAAGCAATATCATCGTCGTCGAGAACATGTCCAAGCATGTGGAATTCTATGTCCTCGAATTTTCGGGAGCAGTTGATCACTCCACAACTGTGGTCATCCAAGGTGAGCCTTTTGATATCCAACGAATCAATGGCTTTTCTCTGGAATCACCGATGATCCATGAGTGTGCGGATGGGGACATCATTTCGGTTGTCCATCGAGACTCTGCTCTCCGTTCTTTGATCAACACGGGCCATGTATATGCAGGTGGTCACCCGCAAACTGAGGACAATGTGTGGCATCTTCGACAAGGAGCCAACTTCTCCGAGAGATGCCATTTCAGCAATTGTACGGAAGGTTGTTGCGCTTCTGATGAACTGCAGTACGCCATGGACTGGCTTCTGAAACTTCATCCTGACATTTGCAATGCCTTCGCGATCCTTCTTTGGGACGGAGTTGAGACTGAATTTGATGAAAGTCACTTCCAATTTCCTGCAATACAGATGGAAACGACTACGTGGCTTGCAGTGCTCATCAAGTGTCATTGGGTGGGATGTGAGATTACCCGTACTGGTGACTCCATTCTCCTGACTGTCCTTGGCCTTGATGCTACAACAGCGTACATGCTTGCCTCGATCTTGTGCAGAAGGCTGGACACTACGATGAGGAAAATGCACTTGTTTGTGGATCTCTTCCATCAAGCTGACTATGCATGTGGCTGGGCTCTCCTCTATCGTTGGTACGAGAGATATGATCGACATGACTCCATCCAGGTGTCAGAGGAGGATCTGGAGGATCTCCCGAGCTGGAGGTATACACTTGTCCAAGATGTCTTGGCCAAATCCACGAGAATTGGCAAGCGCATGAGTTTCCACCTCACATTTGGCATCTTGCACATCAGTTGAGACTGGATTTCTTTTGCCATCTTGGGCTACTGGACAATGATGCTGCTCCTGTCATTGACTATGACTTCATCCTCCGGCTTCCACCAGCTTCGACACAGCGGCCAGTAGGCAGTGTACTTCATTTTGGCCAATACGATGCCGTGCTGAAAGACATTCGGAATCAGCGCATTGATGAGATGCTTCGGTACCCTGGCTGGCTTGGCAGCGACATTGCTGACAATCTTCTCCAAATCCTTCGATTGCAGTGTCCTGATGTCGCTTTCACGGCTCCTGCGAGATGGTCATCGAGCAATCGCACGATCTGCACCTTCGGAGGCTACTCGGATCAGTGCCAATATCACTCACATGTCTTCACGCTTGTCCTGTGGGACCAGCATTGGGTCCTTTGTGAGATCCAGCGCACTGCTGACCATTGTCTAATCTGGATCTCTGCTCCCTCGAGCTATGGATTTGAGCTGCACCACATGACGTCACAATTGTTGAAGATGATCGGGATAGAGGATGACAAGATCCAGGTCATGCTGCTTCCCAATGAACCGCCACTTGGCCTTTGTGGCTGGGTATTGCTACATGATCTTTTTGCCAAATGCCAGGTCAACCTGCCTGCTCCAGGAGCCGGTATCCTTCAGACCATTGCGGCTAATCCAGCTGAAGAACGACTCTTTGAAGCCATCAACCAGGCCAATGAAATCTGGCACGCTATTGCACCACCACATGTGCACAAATTTGCTCAAGATGCAACTGCTTGGTTTGTTCATGACTTGCTACGTGGCCGCATCACTCCAGCTTATGCCTCTGGTGGAGCGGTGCAATCCACAGCCCAGGCATCGACTTCTCCCACCGCCATGGTAGTTGACTCCACGGTCGATGTTCTTCAGATCAGGGACCCTTGGGCGAAACGATCTGCATCCTCACAATCCAAATGGGAAGATTTGCGTATGGACAAGGATCACCCTTTTCGTTTGGAGGACAAAACGGTGGTTCCTCAAGTTCATCGTCACCAGCTCTCTGAGGCCAAAGGAGGAATCATCCTGGTCACCAAGGCTCAGCTTCCAGAGCTATCCAAGATCAAGACATCTCAACCACTTGTAGCCATCATTCCTGCGATTGAACATGGCCAGCTCCAGGCTTTTAGCTCTCTGGCCTCGGGCCCCTATGAGATTGTGCTCCACGATGGTGCCCTCAACACCAGCTACAAGCGCATCGTGACGCTCTTGACCTTTGAGGGTAAGATCAACTATTCTCTGGTTGCTACACCTGCCTTTGAGTTCAAGACCAATGCAATCTCAGAGATCGTCATTGAGCTTGACAACCGCTTGATAGCCAAAGATGCATTCGACAAATTTGGTGCCAATCCTTTGCGCAGCTTCCAGGAGGCCATGAAGGAACTCTTTCCGAAGTTTCTGGACCAAGCGACTTTCTATGCACTCCGGCAAAATCACCATCCTTCTGGTGATAAGTCGGACTTCCAGTACCAATGCATCGTGAAGCTGCCACAAGAACACAGGCACAAGATTCTTGAAGGTTCTGG